TAGTTTATGTGTATATATTACATTAGAACTGAGTTAACTATATTTTGAAGTCTAAAATAATAATAATAATAATAATGTTAGTCTTAAAGGGCGCTTAATACAAAACAATTCTTTTGGCGCTTTATACAAAATTAACACAAGAAATGGAATGAAAAAAAATATCTTAACATTAACCTCAAAATGAAGAATACCAACTAAACACAGAGAACCATTTTCACTGCTCCGTTCTCCAGAACTTTAAAAGCTCCCATAATTGGGAGCTCGCCTGAACAGAACTCACAGGAGCTCAAGTGAAATTGCGTCTAACTATCCCTATCCTACCAACAAAAAAATAAAAAATTAAAAAAAATAAAAATGTCTTGCAATTCAAATAAGAGGCTTATAAACAATAAATTGCTAAAGTAATAATTAAAAGAAGATTGTGTTTTAGGGTTCCACGTGATCCCCTTTTCAAGGGCACAGTTTTATAGATTCAACTTAAATGAATTGCATTTACGTCATACACGGAGATCACGGATAGATTACCTTAATCTTCTGATCAATACTATATAGTAATAAACGCAATTGACAGTCGTTCTCCTAGTGGACCTTAAATATAGCGACATGGTGGTAACAATGAGTCACCTATACCCAAAATACCATTGGTATACTTCAGGATTGAATAACAAGAATTTAGAGCTGTGTCCAGATTAGCTAAACCTTACAGGTTAAAACTAAATATAACCAACAGAATAAGACACAATACAAGACACTAAGCTTATACGTTCTTTAAATAATTTGGAATTTCAAGGTATATAACCATATAAGATTTCGTGAGTGTATTATATATACTGAAGAGATTTTAGCTAGATCAATATTTTTAATTTAGGGAAAATAATCACTGTAGGTCATTATTCTTACAAATAGTTTTTTCAGCAACAAAATAGTTAAATTCAATTCAATTCAATTCAATATAAAGTTTATTTCCACATCATCAATACAAAATACATAGACGGAGAAATACATAAGGGAAAAAAAATAAAATGAAAAACAATAATTGATAAGAATGTAAGCCCATCAGAACATTTGAATAAAGTGGAAAAGGGTCGCCACAGCAAGCAAGCTTTATAACGGGCGCCCATTGATTATGAAATAAAATTAACAACTATATCACAAAAAAATAATTTTTTTATAAATAAATTAACAAGTCAATAGTAATTGAAAATTCTGAAGAAAAGTTAAATATGATTACATACAGCACAATTATTTATACATAGGTTTGCATTACACTTATAGTTTTCATAGTAATGGTTATTTAAATTTCTTTTGAATTTATAAATACTATTACTGAGTCTTAATTCTACATTGATCTTTCCAGATTTTAGGCCCTATATATGTTTAGCCCTTTTGTCCCATATTTGTGTTCTTTTTTGTTATACACAAGTTATCTTTATTTCTTGTACCATATCTGTGTACAGAGCCATAAGTCTGAAAAACTATTAAAAGACACTGGTACTTGTCTCATGAAGTACTTATACATAAATATTGAAATATTCTTCTTATAAATGCCATACACTGTGAGAGAATTTGTTTTGATGAATAAAGGCAAGGATTGATGCTGATAATGGGTGTTGCATACAATTCTTAAGGCTTTTTTGTAAGATATAAATACGGTTTATATTTGTAGAGTCAGTGGTACCCCATGTGGATATGCAATATGTTATAACTGGGAGAATTAACGAGTTGTATATAGTCAATACAATTTTTTGCGGCAAAAATGTCTTGAGTCTATTTAGAGAGCCTATCATAATAGAGATTTTGTTAGCTATATAATTTACATGGTGTGCTAAAGTTAAAAATTTGTCAAGTTCTACTCCTAGAAATGTTATGAAATCTACACATTCTATTGTATTGTTGTTTATAGATAACTTATTATTACCTATGTCAACCGGTTTATTTTTACCTCTGAAAATTATATATTTTGTCTTTGAGACATTGAGATAATTAGTTTATTGGCAAAGAACCATGAGTTTAAGTGAGTGAGCTCTCTATTCATAATGGTAAACGCAATATTTACATTCTCATGTTGCAGAAATACATTCGTATCATCTGCAAACATAATAACGTCAGATCTGTTACAAACATCAGGCATATCATTTATATACAACAAGAAAAGCATTGGTCCTAAAATCGAGCCCTGTGGCACTCCATATAAGATTTCTCTGTACTCAGATTTTTGAGCTTTAATATGTTCATATTGTTTTCTTTTATACAGATAACTTACGAACCAGTCAAAGACAAGTCCTCTTATACCATAATACCTAGCTTATTAAGTAGTATTTGATGATTAATTAAATCAAATGCTTTTGATAAATCTAAAAAGACTCCTACTACAAACATTCTATTGTCAATTGCATTTTGTGATTTTTTTTCTAATACTTGGATTAGGGCATGTTCAGTAGAGTAACCCTCTCTGAAGCCATAATTAGTTTGAAGTTAAACACGGATGAAACATAAGTTAAATATTAATAGGACTTCCTGAAGTAGGCCTACAAATCAATTACACAATAAAACACTTTCAGACATAGGAATATACAAAAGGACTATTTAGACCCTACTTAAAGCACACAATTTATAGATAGTGATGTTCGTATACTTTAAAAACTCAATTTATGTTTTATTTCATTAAAATTGCCATATCAAATAATAAAAGAAGATTACCAATTGGCATTATAAATAAACAAAAAGGTTGAATTAACCAGAAACGTCAGTGTAAAATAGGGCCTACGTAAAATCTCGAATAAGCCCAATGGGCTTAATCTCGAGAAGATGCCCATTCCGAATTAAAGCCCCCTCTTTAGTTTACAAAATTAGCCTCTAAAAGAAGCCCAGGCTTCTTTTCGAGATAGTACAGTACATATACTGTACATGAATTTCAAAGAAACAAATTAAACAATTAAAAACCCGTCTTTTTTCAGTTAGGTAACTGAATGCCATGATACAGATTGATGTTACAGTGGCCCTATGTATTATTTATAGTAGTAATTCCCACAATTGACTGCATCCTTTTTGAAAAGAAGGTTCTTTCTTTACTTTGCAAATGTAGCCTCGAGAAGCCCATTTAAAAAAAAAAACCATCCGAAGAAGGGGAAAAAAAATGCCCAGATTAGGGCTTCTATTCGAGTTTTTACTGTATAGGCCTATTGTGATATAAAGTTGTAATAAAACTTTATACCAGTACCGGTATACTGTACAGAGGTTTTGGAGGACAACATTAATTTAGCGGAAGATGAGGAAACACATAATATAGACAAAGGAAGCCAATGAATTTTACATCATTCCCCGTGATTACATAAAGCAGCATTAAAACATGAATATGTCTATAATTAAAACAGTTATTTGTAAATATTATAATTATCATTAGGCTATTAGCTGAACACTGATTGAATTGCATTTACGTCATACACGGATCACCATAGATTATCTTAAACTTCTGCTCAATACTGTCTAATAATAAACACAATTGATAGCCTCTCTCCTAATGAGCCTTGAATATATCGAAATGTTTAAGTGGTGGTAACAATGAATCACCTATTCCCACAATACTATTAGTATACTTGAATAACAAGTATTTAGAACTTGTCCAGGTAGCTAAACATCACAGGTTGAATCTAAATATAGCCAACAAAATAAGACAATACAAGACACTAAGCTTACGTGCTTTAAAATACATCTATACTTTCAAAGTATATAACCATTATATGGTTTCGTGAGTGTGCTATACATACTGAAGAGATTTTCCGTTTTGCGATTTTAGCCAGATCAAGTTCTATATTTTTTGATGGAAAATAATTACTGAAGTTTATTATTTTTACAATTAGTTCACGACTAACATATTGAAATTTTCAGCAACAAAATAGTTTGAAGTTAAATAAATAATAATGACTTCCTGACGTACTACTAAGTTACACTGTAACAAAACACTTCAGGACATAGGCATATACAATAGGACTAGACCATACTTAAAGCGCATAATTTAGGCGGATAGTCAGGTTAGTATATTTAAAAAAAAATCAATTCAAATTTGTATTTCGGACATTGAAATTCCCCTATCAAATATAAAAGAAGATTACCAATTGGTATTACTAAGAAATAGGTTAAATTAACCAGAACCGTCAGTGTAAAATATGGCTTATATTGTTATATGAAGCTGTAATAAAAACTGTATACCATTACCGGTACCGGTACAAAGGAAACCAATCAATTGGGAGTCAAGTCATTTGTATATAAATTACAGTTTAGGCAGCCGTAAATCACTATGTTTGACACCACAGAATTATTTCCCTTTCTCAAGACCTAAATTTTCGCCAATTATTATTTTGAATAAGTCTGGTATGGTATCGTAATTTATATTATCATACTTTGAAATTATTTATTGAATAAACCTGATGATGAGATGTAAACGTTTGTGTTCCATGTGCAAAAAAAAAGAAAAATGAACTTATACTCCTCAGCTCCGGTAGTCTTATGCCTAATGGGCCACACAAATACAAAAAATAATTCGAAATGTAGTGAGGGGAAACTACATTCCATAGCACTCTTAAATGAATTTCCCAAAGCCCTTTTAAAATTAATGTACGCATTGACGAGGATATATTAACCTATAAAATTAAAACGACCAGAATTCAGAATTGGGGTTACGTCAGATATGAAAATTAAAGGAGGGCCATGATTAGTCATAGAGGGTTTTCGTATGCTTGTATTGAATTTTATTTGAGCCAAATGTATAGAAGAATTGAATACGGATTTAACGAACGAATGGCAATCAATAGAAAGAAATCCACACGAAATTATGTTAATCGTTATACAAAAATCAGCAGTAAGTGAAAAGACAAGTTGCAGAATCAATTAAGAGTGAGCCGCACGCTGTTTCAGACTGTGGTCATTACAATAGGGGATCGTTATGATGTCATAGGGAACACAGCTCATTGTCAACCTGCCTATAAAACCAGTGTCAATAACTCGCAGACGACATTCAGGCAAAGAGAAACAAACCATGAAGTTTGTACAGGTGAGTACAGTATTTTTCTTCTTCGACTTTAGTAAGTCCATGTTTTTATTTGCTTGCATTAAAGTTGTGTTTTGTTTTCAATACTCTATTCTAATTGTATGCTTTTGATTTGCTCCGCCAGAATTTTTCGATTGCTACTTCACTATATGCTATTATTATTGTTGTTCAATATGCAGGTAAATTTTTGTGTTTTTGTTTCATAACAATTTTTCTAAAAAAAAAAAAAAAAATTCTCAAATAAATGTAAATTGATCAGTTTGAAACAAAATCACTTTCATTCAGAGTAAAATAATTTCTGTGAAAAACGTTGTTAAATAGTGTCTTGGATTGTTTACCATGTGGATTTTGGCGAGCTAGCTTTATATTAGAGTTTCTTATACCCTGATCATATTAAATACGCCTTTATCATTTCCCGGTGTTTGTTCACACAATCAACCCAAATTGACTAAATAAGTGAATGAATCAATCAAATTCTGAATTTGACCCTAAGAACTCTCTACACATTCACACTTTTCTAAATCTCACACTTAATGATTAAAAAATGGAATTTATTTTCAAGGCAACTTGGTTTAAGCAGATAAGCGTTTACCTTTAAATGAACTTTTATTGAAACTTTAATCTTCGCAATAATCAAAATGAGCCCAGAGAGGTGTGATTATAAATCTATAAGCGCAAACGGAATTATATGTGATCCTTAGAATCAAATTATACAAAATGGGTCTCCGTGGTGTAAAACCGAGAGTATGCATTTATTAGTTTACTCAAAGGGCCCAACCTCAAAGTGTGATTAATTAGTGGAATGTTGATACCTATGGATTTTGATAATTCGTGTCGTATTATCGCAAATAACAAGTGAGTTGTACCAATATTTTTACGTACTACTTTTTCAAATGATTTTTGGAAATCACCTTTTTACAACAAACAAGTAAATCATAAGTCTCTTGTGTATAAAATTGGATTAAGCAAGTCTACGTTATTGTGACCTTTGAACTGTATTTATACACATTTTACTATTTTGTGCATCTCTGGATATACAGTAAAAGACCCGTGTTAGAATCCAGTCAGGGCGATTTTCATTCTCTCAGAGTTTTAAGTTTATAATTTTCGGTGTACTTATTATACAGTGTTCTAATAAAGGACGTGATAATACATCGTGCAGCATAACTCTCCACAAATGTTGTCCTATAAAAATAAATAATTGAAGAAATTGTGTAATAAAATGTCTCTGACGGGATTCGAACTTGCGACCACATGTCAAATCGAGCGTCATAACAATTAGACCACAGAGGCTTCAAGGTTGAACACATTCAGATAACGTCAGATACATTCTATTGCACAATAGGTAAGGCTGAATATATATATATATATATATATATATATATATAATGATTGCATTTGTTTTATTATTTTTATATCATCATTATATTTAGGCTGATATAAAAATACAATACCTCAGTCATTCAATGAGTATGTTAAAGTTCTTCTTTCCAATTATAAGAGTTTACATCAGCTGCGTACAAGAGAATATGTTACTATACCAACTGGTCTCAGTACCGCCAAAGCCCAGCAAAGTTCTTTCCAGAGAACATTGATCCCGACATTTGTACGCACATTGTGTACTCATTCGCCAACATGAACAATGCTCACGAGCTCGTTCCTTATGAATGGAATGACGATGATACAGATTGGTCACAAGGAATGTATTCCAGGGTAAATACATTCATTTATTTCGTTAAAAGGCTATGTTGGTTGAAATGGTTCATTTCTGTATAATTTTAATTTTATTTTAAAAATATTTGAAAACGTGAAAACATATCGCAGCAGCTTTTCTCTACTAACGTTATGAGCTCTGTCTGATAATAGCCAAGTACTACTACCTCTACAACCGGGCACTCACTGCGTCGGACGACGGTCGTACGACCCTCGGACGATGAATCCAACTCCGCTCCCTGTGAGCGCTGACGACGCAACAGTGTGCTGATTGTGCCAGTCCGATGGCAGTCTGAACGCGCGTCGTCGCGTTGCGTTCTTCACTAGAATCTCATCGTCGGGAGCAGTGAGTTCCCGGCTTAAGATTTTGATATTATCAAGATCAGGATAATATTCGGTGAATATTTAACCGGTAGAATACTTATTGATTAACACAGTATTTTTTTAGGATTGGGCAAAGTCAAATTATAGCCATACACATGGACACCTTACAGGTCTTGTTCTACCACAGGACCAATAGCATTTCGTTGGATTACCTTTAAATATGGATTTCATTAAAAAAAACAAAAAAAAAAACCACATTTTATTGTATTCTCTAAAAGGTTAATGAACGGAAGTCAATGAACAACGATCTGAAGGTTATCTTAGCTGTCGGGGGATGGACTTTTGGCGTTCAAAAGTTTTCATCGATGGTGTCAACGCAAGCTAGCCGAGCACATTTCATTTCCACATCCATAACATTCCTGCGAGAAAGAGGTTTTGATGGACTTGATCTAGATTGGGAGTACCCAGCAGATAGAGGAAGTCCAGCAGTTGACAAAAGACGATTCACACTTCTTGTAAAGGTACAATTATCTTATATCTTTTAATTTCAAATGGTAACAACAAGTAGAGAGATTGAATTAGAATACTTTAAAAAAAGTAATATTCTACTTCTACGTCTACGATTACTTACAGGAACTCCGCCAAGCATTTGATGAAGAATATGCCCGGAATACCAACGGTGACGAAAAACTAATACTTTCAGCCGCTGTAGCAGCTGGAGAGTATACCGCTGTTAAAGGTTACGAAATGGCAGAAATTGCAGAGTAAGTTTCAACATTAAATATTAAAATTTTTGTAAGATATTTTTAATCAGTTGTTTTTCTTTAATGTGAGGAACATGAATGAACCGTAAGTTTATCTAAACTCTGTTTTAACGGAATCTTTAAGATTTTAACAATTGTGATAATAGAGCTTTTTACGTTTTACTTACAGGCACCTCGATTGGATTGGACTAATGTCGTATGATCTCCATGGTTCTTGGGATCCAATAACTGGTCACCATAGCGCACTCAAGGCACCCGCAGATCAGGCTCAAACTCTAACTGTGGTATGTTTCATTAACATCTTTAAAGAAAAATATGCCGGTGATGTTTACCGTAGGTGTCTAAACTAACGAATCATACCGACATACCGCTTAATCATGCTCAGTAACTTGGGAACTCGCTGGATTTAATTTTTGTGACGATGCTTCTTGCTATCATAAATTATTTAAAACAAACCAATTTGAGGGAATTACTTGCATATTAAAAGGCTTATTAAACTAAATCTAAATAGCGGATATAAAACCATGAATATTTTTTGTTTGTTTTATAACTAGTTAAATAATCTCTTCACTGATTTAGAGACAGGCTTAATGATAACCTTGCAACAAACGTCATCTTACAAAGTAAACGTCCCTGTCATTTTTTTCATATTATTCTATATCAAAACAAGTTTAATAATTTGTATTCTATGTATTTGTAGTCCCATGCTGCTGATCTTTGGTCGACTGGTGGCGTTCCAGGTAACAAATTAATGATTGGTATTGGTACATATGGACGAAGCTTCACGTTGTCCACATCATCACATGGCATTGGAGCACCAGTGTTAGGGGGAGGTACTGCTGGAACATTCACAAAAGCGTCAGGCTTTTTGGCATACTATGAGGTAAATTACAATATTATTATTCTCAGGTTTCATTTTTTGTTAAAAACATTAATAAATTTATCCTAATGAGGAAAGGTAACGTCATTTCATTTTAAAATAAGGTGGCGGAATAAAACATTCGTACAAATAATAATATTCTATAAACATTGTTTTGTCTTGTGGCAGATTTGTGACATGCTAAAAGCGGGTGGTACCGTTGTACGCGATGAAGCCCTACAGTCGCCATATGCCTATATAGGAAATCAATGGGTCGGGTATGATGATACACAGAGTATTGCGCGAAAGGTGAGTACGGTACACAATTGAATAAAACCAGACATTTGTAGATAACCACTGATTTGTCAAAAAATAGATGATATGTCTGTTAATGTTAAAATTTATTTATTACTCTTCAATCAGACACAATGGATTAAAGACAATCGTTATGGTGGTGTTATCGTATGGGCAATCGACCTCGACGACTTTAGCGCCATCCATTGTGATGAAGGACCATACCCACTACTGAGTGCAATCAAATCAGGCCTGGAGAGTGGTGATTCCGTCATTACCTCCAAAGCTCCACAATCAACAGCTCAAATAACTACCAAACAACACCAGCCAACGACAACACAAAGTGAAACACAAACACCATACAGTCAAGCGAGGACAACTAAAAAAGAACATGCAACCGTCCTACCAGAAGCAACTGGAAAACAGAAAGCAACGACAAAACCTGAAACGACTGACCAAAAAGCAACCAATATGCCAGAAGTTACCGAAAAACCAGAAGCAATTACCTACAAACTAGAAGCAACCGATCAGCCAGAAGTAACGGAAAAACCAGAAACAACAGACCAAGAAACAACCCACCAACCAGAAGCAACCACAAAACCAGAAGCAACTTACAAACCTGAAGCATCTACCAAACCAGTAGCAAGCAAGCAACCAAACGCAACAGACGAACCCAAAAGAACCACCTTACAAAAAGAAGTAGTGACGACGAAACAGCAAACATATCAACCACAACCTGCTACAACTCAGCAAGATGCCACCGAAAAAAAGCATAATACTGAAGCTCAGCCGTCAACAACATCAGGTAGGATATGTTGAAGGTTGATTCTACATCGTGAAACTAGAAACTATGTTTCTGTAAAGTGATGTTATGTTTTCGGTCCACTATCTTATATTTGAATTTGATTAGTTATAATTTTAAATGGTCTGTTGATTTCAGTCGAATTTGGTAGTACTCATTTGATTTTCAAGAACTTAGTACATTATATCTTTAATTTTATTTTGTTTCGGTACTTTATATTACAGCTGGCAGTGACGTGTTCAGATGTACTGGTCGAGTATCAGGCTTGTATGCAGATCCTCACGACTGTACAAAATATTATCAGTGCCAAACGCAGATGTCGTCTGGCTCGTGCGGCAGCCTCTACTTTGACGAATCAAGCAGCTCTTGCGATTATCCGGCAAATATTAATTGCACTGTGGATACAGCAGACAACACGTTCACATGTTACGACAAACCTTTGGGTCAGTTTTTCTACACAGACCCTGTGGACTGCACTCGATATTATACTTGCTACAGGATCGAATCACACAGAACATGCTCATCTGGCTTAGTTTTCAATAGCCGTATAGCAAACTGTGACTGGAAGCAAAATGTTATGGAATGTTCCAACGATAGAAGTGACAACAATAATAGTAACGAGAACGAAATGGGTTTTACTTGTAGTGGAAAGGGTGATGGTCGTTTTGCAGACCCGTTTTCCTGCTCTATGTTTTACGAGTGTTCGCACGGAAATAAATACCACACTAGTTGTTCAGCTGGCACAGTTTTTAACCCACTCACGACGAACTGTGATTGGCCACGCAATGTTCCGGGTTGTAGTACATGATAGTAGTTCATAACATCGCATTAAGTTTGTTAATTATATAAATTATATGGAGCTGGATATCCATTGATTATAACAATAAAGCAAAATGTACATTTAGTTATTATAACCGATGACTGATAGGCGTGTGTAGTAGGAAGCTCAATAACTGTCCTACTAATTAGATTCAATTGTTTGATATGTTTAAACATATTTAGTTTAGTTTAGTCTTCTTTCCGAATCACTTTTGCTTTAGTGGCGCTCTCACATTGATGGTACATCCAAAGAAAATAAAAACAAACCACCGATACATGAAAAATAATTAAACTACGGCAAATTAACTACTGGAATTTACAAGCAACAAAAAACCTTAACTACAATAAATTAAACTAGAAAAAAAATCAATTCATACTCCTAAAAGTTAAGGTGCAGGTAATTTAAACACTTATTATCTTATATATGATTTTGTATTTAGCTTAACGTATTTTGTTTTTGCAATAGTTGTCAAAAATGGTTGAAAGTTCTTCATTTATATGAGGTCATCAAGAAACAAACGGTGTTTGCATTCTATAGAACCATGTGTATAAGTATCTATGTTTCTTGTGCAGGTTTCAAATTCATAAAACTCACATCTCTATTTGGTTTTAGTTTTTTCATTCAAATAGAAAATGATTTACAATATCTTAAGTTTGAATTGCCTTCACAAATACTAAAGATACCTATTTTATATGGCAGATAGGCCTATTACAGTTTTGTAATTATAAGTTTTCAAAAGTATCCATTCCAGAGTATCACAGCTTTCTATAATGCACACAATTCTCACATAAATAAGGGTCTTTGTTGATTTATTTGTCACTAATAACAAAGTGATGTTAACTTTAATCATGTAATCAAACCTAAGGATTAAAAACATTAGGAGCCAGGCCTTCATTCAATTTAAGTTTTCTCCTATATTTTGAGCACGTGATAAGTTGAACACTTATTAATATATAATCTGTTATTTATTTACGACTTAGATTGGAATGTTTTCATATGCACACCCATATGAGTGTGGGAAATAATTACAGTAGCGTTTTTTTATAATTATAAAGTTAGCCTACTACTAATGGTTTCTCAACCTAGAAATGACAGTGATGAAATGACTGAGCAAGAATTTTGTGCTTGTGTCACATTGCTTGGTTGAGTCTTCTGTGAAATCCGCACTCCAGCGCAGATATATTATTGCGGCCCTTCCCCCCAGTGCCTGGCTCAGGGCCTTCGTCCCCTTTTTTACGCCACTGATCCTTTGTAGTTCCGCATTACGTCGGTTTTCGCACCCACTTCCCCAGTGGCGGCTATATTTTCTAGGGGGGAGGGGGGCTAATTTGTCCGACAGAGGGGACTTGAGCTCGTAGGCTCGAGCTGGGAGAAGGGGTTGAGAGGGGGTTTCCCCTCCCAAATGAGATTTTTTTTAAAGAATATCAACCTCTTAGATGGCCGAAAATGGCACTCTCAGACTGTGACAGACATGTGTTTTGGCTTGGTGTGGGCCTTATATGTTTTATGGTCTGACTGCCCGACGAGCTCTGTCAGGCGGGGAGGGGGGGGGCTTGACCTGTCCGGTGGGGGCTTAAGCCCCCCCCTGTCACCCCGCTGGCGCCACCACTGCACCTCCCACCTCCATATGGGAAACACCCCACGCCCCAGCACTGAAAACACTGTAGAGACAGTGTAACGATTTAGGAAAAACATCAAAATAATAAAATTGCATACCTCTTCCAAATTTATACTAGGTCATTATTAAATTCAAATCTTTAATATGTTAAAATGAAAGGCCCCACGAGAATTAATTTAATAATTTGCTTGAAGATAATTGCAACAAAGAAATATTTGATCACATTGGATCGATCATTCTTCACAATGTCTGGCATTTAAAACGTTCGAGAAGTAGGCCTATTTTAACTAATTTAGTGGATTTTATTCATTGAACTGATGGAAACGTTTTTGCCACTTCATTTTGCTAGTCCAGCTATCACGAAAGCAGCGAACTGAGGTCAAATCGCTGTACAATAGTTTTGGATCGACCAATTAAAAACATTGGGTTTGTTTCATTTTCATTATGGGGTTTAAATTCAATTTGTTTAATTGTTTGTTCGTCTGTAACTTATTTCTTGTTAGTCATTGGGTTTTTTTTTATTATATATTATATAAAACAAAATTATTTAAAAGTGCTTTAAACGTTTAATCAAAAGAACAAAAACATGTTTGAACTTTTTTTTTCTAATTATTACTGTTGCGCATGTGTTATTGGTATTAACTGAAAAGATTACACAGAATTTTGAAAGTAATTAAAAAAATAATAATGTAGGCGTCATTTGATATATTTTCAAAATAATGATAATATTTAAAACCCATTAATTCACATTGGGCTGTTGCTTCGACTACTTCCGCAGTAGTGTATGCTATGTTCCGAACTGTACGGAAGATTGCTGTTTAATAAGGATTTTTTTTTTTTTTTTAAATTTTCTTTTTATGGCGATCGTGTAGCGATTGTATGAAAATCAAGCTTCACAGTATTTTGTCATTACAGTAGTCGCGGTCTGCCGTGAATCTGTTCAAGGCAAGCCGCCGAATTTATGCTTTAGTACAGACCACAAAGCACCACACGCTGCGCGTACGACGTGCGATCGTCAACGAACACCGTGCCGTGGGTTTTTTCTGAACCGTAAACATGGCTCGTTTCGAACTTTCGCCTTGTTGTATTCACCTTGTCTGCACAAGTCTAAACAAAATTTTTGCGTATTCACTGATAAAGTAAGCCATTTAATAACTTATGAACTTTAACGGATTATTTTATGAAACGTTTTTTTTGTATTTTAATAATGTGCATAGGCCTAGGCTAGCCTAGCCTAGCCTAGGTTAGCATACAGTAATGCATAATTGACCTAGCTAGACTATACCTAGGCCTAGCCCGTAATGAGGCCTAGCTCGAGGCAGATGCTAGCTAGCTACGCATTTCTTGCATAGAACTGTCTTAGGCTAGGCCTTGGCCTAGAGCTAGGCCTATATACTATAACACCATATTCTTTCGACACGTCGGCCTAGCCTAGCTAGTCCATAACGGAACAATATCCAGGCCCACAGCGCCTTACTTACTGCTGTACTAGGCCTTACAGAGTTATTGGTTTCTTATTTTCTTGAATATAATTGTTTATGTGTCTTAATTGCCAAATTTAGGCTTACATTTATTGCAGTGGGGAATTTAAATTTGATTTGACTTTAAAATCGTTGCATAGACAAGCATGATTTGCTGTCAGTAACGTTTTACTACTTTTTTTTACAATTTTGTACAGTGCTCAAGAAAGGAAATGTTTTGAATGTGTTGAAAATAAGGCGAGTCTGCCAGCATCATCCAAAAAGCACAGCAGAAATGGGCAACAAGATACAGAAAACAAGTGTGAGAGCACCAGAGATGATGATCCTTCCAAAAAAGAAGAGACAGAAGCAGCAGACAGAACCAAAGTTGGTGCTGAGAAACTCAATGAGGCAAAGTCAAAGGAAGATTCCGGCGGAAACGAATCAGAAAAGTATGGAAGACTGATTTTTTTTCTCATTTTTAAAAAACTGTAAAACAATATTTATTCCATATTGTAAACTAGTTTTATTTTTTGAATGATACATAGAAAATAACTCAAATTTGCCCAGAAAATTGCTAGAAAAATAGCCGCACAGAATCGTGAGTCAAGACCTAATTTTTAGCTAAATTGCACAGAAATCGATCATTATTTTCCAATATGTGAAATGATTTCTTGGCCTCATTGTTGCATGGAGGATAGATTACCCCCGCAGGCCTTATTTTACTGTCTGGTATTTATTGCTAATATTTTAACTTATGCAGTATAATAATCAAATGCTCACAAGAGCATTCTATAAATCTGTGAGTTCAATATAATTTACAATACATAATTTAGAGCATCATTACTTGAAAAATAGCTGCTGAGCTAAAGAACTTAAAAATAATTCAATAAATTATGATTGCTTGTATATAATTATATTTGATTTAAAAATTATAATTGAAAAAATTAATTTGTCTTAAACAAATTCATAAGTTTGCTATAAAATTTAATAGGAGATCTGTATATTATAAAAATTGAAATTTAATACCTTTTTGTCAGTTTTTTATTTAATTTTTGATGGTATTTGTCTGTTGTCTGACTACCTTCATATGCCTACCATTCCTCAAACTACACATCACAATTCACGTATTTGTTTATAAACCTGACCTTTGACATCATTACTGCATAAAGCACTAAAACACCTTACTGATGGTGATATAAAGGCAGGCACTCAATTCGTACGACCGTAGGCCAAAAAAATCGAACTCCGCTCCCAGTGAGCAAGCATTAGACAGCGTGACGCTGTCTGCTTATTGTCGCCAACAGTCTAAATTGCTGTGAAGTGCAGCACGTGCCCGACTTTAAGCTACCAAATTTTCGTAGCCACCCATAGCGAAAATTAGCCTCTAGTGTACCATGTTTGTGTTTTCAATTCACATTCTATTGTGTTATTGTTCATACGCTACTAGTGATGGGCATTCGTGTTCAGGCAACGTGCTGGCCCACAGCTTCTCGCCGTCCAGTAGGTACTATGCAGTGTGCGATGACTTTAAACAACTCTCCATCTTTGATACCACTAACTGGAGCAAACTTAGTGTAAGGTATGTAAATTGAGAGAAATAAATTTAGGAAAATTATTGATGGTTTTCAGTAATGTTCTACAAGAATTGAATGCTTTTGAAATTATACATGTATAAATTCATTATCATAATAACACATTTTGGAGTTGTATATTTAAAGTATTTAATGATTGAATGGGTTTTTCTCTCACACACTGGGCTACAGGTAATTAGACATATCTGAACAAACAGATCAGTGATGGTTTTAAGGTTGGGGGGGGGGGCTCCCTCTACTTTTTTAAATATTATTTTTAGAAAATGGAGAAAAATAGAAAATCAAATTTAAATTTTAAGAGTGCAATTTCCAACCATTTAGAGGTGCCATAATCATCATTTTTTTTTTTTAACCTTAGCCCCAACCGTACTGGTGCGGAGGTGGTATAGCCCCTCTTCTGTGGATGTCGCTCCCTGGGCCCCCTCTATATAAATTCCTGGATCTGCCATTGCAGATTATTTGTTATGCATGTCATACATCTTTGTTTTATTTCGTAGATCTGTTAGGAAAAGAAGTACATCATTAGCATTCAATCATGCTGAAGATTGTGTTTATGTTGGTGATAAATCTGGCGATGTTTACCGGTTTTCTGTAAAGAATGAAGAGGATGAAGGTACCTTAGTCCTTGGGCATGTCTCAATGCTACTTGATCTGGTGAGGAAACTCTAGAGGGCAGCAAACATAATTTCTTGTGAATGTAACTTTGAAATTTAGGTGCCAATTTATATTTTAACATACAAATTCTATCCAATTTTACCAAAACATACTGTCAATAAGCACCTAATGCTACTTTCAGTCTATGTACATGGCTCTAATTCAACCCTCTTATTATTTTTGTTGTGTTTTAGGCCATTAGCCCAGATGATAAGTACATTGTTACTGCTGACAGAGATGAGAAAATTCGAGTTTCACACCTACCTAACTGCTACAACATTCATTGTTTCTGTCTTGGTCATACAGAGTAAGTTCCATTATACGTATATTTTAAAACATTTTTTAATCATTATTTTTATTGTAGTTATATCTTTTAAATCATCATTGTTTTTTCAAGGTGTAATTATTACTCTTGGTATAAACATACAGTAGTATTTTGCCATTTCTAGCTATTGTTGTTAGTTCATCCTAGTGTTTCCCAGCTAAATAATGTTTTTTTTATATTCCTTTTATGGTGCCATATTTTATTCCAGATTTCCCCCTCTCTCTTTCCTATATTATTCAATAGCTATTTTGGCCTAATTGTGTGTATAACTTGCATATACTAACTTAACTGTCTTTTACTCATTTTTTTTTCTATCCAGCTTGGTTAGTAAAATAGCAATATTACCAAAAGACCAAGATATTCTTGTGTCCGGTTCAGGGGTGAGTTTTTGAGTTGTCTTTGGGTTTTTGTAGCATTGACAATGAATATATATAATATATTTCTAACATAAGCCAGAATTAGCCAATCAAAGCTATTTGCAGAAGCTAAGATGTGGACAATGAACTACAAAGACCTTGTAGCTTATACTTTTATATAATATGTAATACATAAATAAAATAGACAAATACAAACCATATATTCCAGATATAGCAATCAATTTTTCATTATTTTGCTTTTTAATTTAAATAAATATATAAATTTGTTTAAGTATATATAATACGCATGATAAAATAAAGTTGCGTTTATGCATGTTATAATATGTAGATAAACATATTGATATTTCATTACAGACTAATGAAATATAATTTGTAATAATAGACAAAATTGTGATAATAAATGATTAATCTTTTTCATAGGATGCCAGTTTACGCTTTTGGAAATACACAACAGGGCAAGAGCTGTGTAGGTTATCATTAAAACAGATGGAAGATTCTGCCAGACCAACAGTGCTATGTATCAGATGCTCTAAAAAGAGTAACTATGTTGCAGTTTTATTAGAAAAGTAAGGAAATATAGCTGGCATGAAAAAAATGAGTCTTCTTGTACCAAAAATAAAAACTATATTTAGATAGGTGATTGTATAAACCTATTTTTTTGTTTTTGAATCAGGTTCCTAGCTTGAGTACAACCGGAGTAAGATCATTTTAAAATTAAAACTATCTAGAAAACATACTTTAGAGAAAATTGCCACTAAAGATAAACAACTGATAAATTTTTTGTCGGTTTGCCTACCAATTCTTACAAGGACCTTTACAAAATATGCCTTGAAATCACTTTAAACTAATGTAAATCAAGTCAGTACATATTAGGCTTATCAAAAACATTTAAACCTAATATTTTTGTAAAGATATTACTTCATATTTTCTTGAATATATCAAGTTGACCTGGCATACAATAAGGCTCATTTTGTGACGACACCTCACATACGCGAAATAAACTCAACTGCATCGTTGCTATCGCCACAATAACCATCAATCTGTAAATGGTAGAATAAGTGCTTCTATTGATTTTAAGTTAGTAATTTAAAAAAAAGTGAATTTATAATGTCATTGTCCAAGTCAATTACATGCTTCCTGAAATAACAATTTAATGTAATTCTTATTAAAATTGCTTTTTCTGTATTGTTTTTAAAGTTTTGTTGCTCTTTTTTGAATTTACATTCAATTTTACTTTGCCTTTTTTGTTTACTTACAGACCTTGTTTATTTGTGCTATAAAAATCAACCGATTATTTTCACCATTATTAGTCTTTAAATGAAATATCAATATTTATCAACATCAATTGTTAACTATTGTTATTACAGTAGTATAATTATTATTGTATATGATTAAAGGTAATATTATTTTTTTTGGATGGTATTGCTGTTTTATATAATTTTGTATTATGGCAGTTCTTGAAATAGACATTCATTTTAGTCTTAAAAATTAAATAAATTAAAATGTTTTTACACTCATTTCATTCATTTATTAATTATTTGAAATAATTGTGTACAACAAAATATAAAACAAAATATACAATATATTGGTTTATAGGAACATTTTTCTCTAAATAGAATGTGTATTTTTTCACTCCAGGTTCATGGGTGTGCAAATATATGAGTATGATCGCGTTGATGAAGTTCTCGACGCACGGTTGGTGGCTAGCATCGAAACTGGCGTTGAACCGTGGGACATAGCCTTTGACGAGGAAGATCACTTGTGGGTGTTTAAGCCAAAGCAGGATGAGCTGATCTCGGTCTATGAGTTCTACCTGCAAGATAAAATCTTAAAGGTTTGTTGCTGCGAAGCAGCCAATTCATATTCTTGACAGCAATTTGACCTCTGAAAGGTCATTGTTTGTCAAAAAACAAGGGCCTAAGACAACTGAAAAGTGTAGTTTCCTTCTTTCGTTCTACCGGGTAAAATCAATTACTTTAGGCGACGTTTGTAGACTAACCTACACATACCAACGTCCGCATGTGGCGACGCTCAAGTATTACTATTCAGCGTTTTTACTATATTTCTAGGTTTCCTGTTTCTACGTTTAATCGGCCCATGTCTCAGCCACAATATTTTGAGGCCGATATTATTTACGAACCCAGTTATTACTTATTTACTAGCCTATTTCAGCGTGCTAATTATTACATTTAGGCGACGCTTGTTGTAGACTGGCATACACGGTACCAACGCTCGTTTTTACTATGTTTCTACATCTGCTCGTGAGTGTTCTAATATAGACAATGGGTCGTGTCTCATATTATTTGTTATATTTTTATTATTCATTATTTTCACTTGACTCGCATAAATAATTTTGTTCGAAGAACATTTATATGCAGTTGTACTTCGCAGCACTTCACTTGCAATTTACAATTTCTAGTATAGTTACTGTATTTTTGAATGCAATGATTCCAGTGAAAACCCTGAAGCGACTGTGTTGCGATTCTATGGAAACCAAGCTTCAAAGAGTACTTTTATTTTACCCCTTCCCTCTAATGTCTATAAAAAATTTTTCGATCTTGCAATTTTTTTTTTTTTTTTGGCGGAGTAATTTACTGTACATTAATATTTTCTTATTGGAGAGTGTACAAGTATCTGATATGAAAATGTTTGATAATTGTGAATGACCTCAATTCTTGGAGGTATTTTTGTATATTTGTATATCTTTAAGGTGTAGAGATTTTATGCTGAAGAGGAAATGATAATACTGTTAAATGATATTACAAATGACCATATTGATTTCATCTTAAACTTCTTTTTAAAAGTACCTCATTAAATCTGTTTAGGAGACATTGGCAGGATACATGCTATGCATCTGCTGCCTTGTATCTTATAGTTAAATCAATAGAACTCTTTCTGTTGCGAGCCGAAGATACTTGTTAATGAAATGTACAGCTTTTTTTCTTTTCATTTCGTAGTAGAAATTAATATTCTTCAAGGTCGATGGCTTTCTTAGTGAGAGTGTGTATATTTATTTGAATTCTATTTAAATAGGATAGCTTGTGCAGCTGACCATTAATGGAGAACTGATATTAAGGTGTTCTCAACAAACAAATTTAAAATACACAGATTTTTTTTATAGAACCATAATGTATATAGCGCGTTTCACAATCCGCAGATTTTACAAGCGATTATACAAGGCGCTGGCATCATTTTTTCCCTGGTCTCCGGATACTGAGTTGGCAGATCCGCACATTGTGCAACTTTCTTTGCTCCCTGGGGATTATCCCTGGTCATGGTCATTGCTTCTTGAACGTGCATGACCCATACATTTAATGCCATACCATCCTACCAGGTACCCATTTAGAATCCTGGGTGGAGAGAGGCAAATGTAAGTAAAGTGCCTTGCCCAAAAACACAAGCAGTGCGACAAGCGTCGGTCTCGAACTCCCGATCTCACAATAAGAAGTCCAACACCTTACCTGCTGTGCCACACGCGCCTACTAGATAAGATATACAAAATATGACATTTCCATATGAAACATATTTAAATATTTCTGTCTGTGTACATTTCTGTAATGTTGTCTATAGTCAAATAAAAGCAGGAATTTAGATTTCAGCATTTCTACTGGCAGTGCCATGTCTAAGAGCCACCCCTACCCCCACTAAAAATTTATTTAGCCTAGAGTTAATGCTTCTGCTTTTTGTGCCAAAGACTCGCTACTAACCATACTTTAAAGTTTTTTAATTGCGCAGAGGATATCTCAAAAATCAGCTCAGAAAGGCACCTGGATGATATTTGTGCAGATTCATTAATTGCAGCATAATTGCGTTGGTTATATGTTAATATTCATTTTGGTCAAAATCTGCGCGGAAGTCGGCCCTTATTTTCTGAAATGCGCAGACAGATTTCTTGGCAAATTTTTGCGCATATTTAGCATTTAATATTTTTTTTTTTTATTCTTCACAGTTAAAACTGACTAATTTGAATGAAGGAAATCAAATTTTAAATGTCATAGGTCAAGTGAATACTGATTGGCAGATATTCAAAGGTAAAAACAATGCATTGGACTTTTGAAAATTCTGTTTATTATTGATACATTGCATTGTATTGTTATTAACAGGTGTTTATGCTAGCAATTATTAAAATTATTATTAATTAATTATTATTAGTTAAAATGCATGCCTCATTTAAAATTTCTGTGACAGCAGGATTTTTTCTCACAACTATAATAATAATAATAATAATAATAATAATAATAATAATAATAATAATAATAAGAATAATAATAATAATAAGAATAAGAATAAGAATAATAATAATAATAATAATAATAATAATAATAATAATGCTTCTAAGCGCTTTCCACATAAAAGAACTTGAAAAAAAGGAATGACTCCATAAAATATCCTAAGAGGAACACTTTTCACCGCTCCGTTCTCCAGCTTTGAAGCTCCCATAATTGAGAGCTCGCTGGAACAAAACTCACATGAGCTTATGTGAAAGTGGCATCTGAATATCCTATGCTACCAACAAAAAAATCCTATAAACATCTCACTTAGTTCATAAAGCATGAAAGAGCCCCGTGGGAGAACACTAACTTACCCAGTATAAAGAAGATACTTTTAAAATATTTTATATCATGTTAAGTTGTGTTAATTGTCAATTCTTAATATTACTGTATAAAAAAGTATTTGTGAAGGTGGTTTTTTTTTTAAACAATTTTTTTGGAGTCAATGATCAACTAAAATAGTATTTCTAATTAAATATATCTTTTGTTTGACTAAAAACAACAATTTACAACTTATGGCCAAGTTACTTGTAAAATAGCAATTTGTTATTAAAATAACCTTAAGATTTAACAAACAATAAAAAAATAAAAGAATCATTCATAGAAGTATTAATGTAGATAAAAATCAGATTGAACATCAAGAAAAACATTTGTAGAAAAGCAGAGTAAACAAGTTATTTAAAAATGATTTGAAAATTTCTTTATCAGAATCTTTGAAAGTAGAGAGTCTGTATACAAATTTGCACAAGAAGTCTCAAGACAACAGCAAAGACTGGCAACGAAGGAAAGAACGAAAGATCAAAGGGAAGCTACAGGAAATGAGTGAACAAACGGAAGGCTCGGCATGTAAGAAGATCAAAGTAGACGAAGTGTTGTCAAAAACAACGGAAAGAGAAGAAGACGTGCAAAGTTGAAGGAAATCACCTGTTTCTAACCACAAAGATGTATAAAACAAGCCCTGGTTACATGTTGTATTTATGACAGCAACTGACGTACAATTGCTGTCTCTTATACACATCTAGATGTGTATAAGAGACAGTGATTATACAATGTTGTCTATTGTCAAATACTGTAAAAGCAGGAATTTAGATTTCAGCATTTCTACTGGCAGTGCCATGTCTAAGACCCAACCCTACCCCCACTAAAAATTTCTGCAGAGCATTTGGCCTAGAGTTAATGCTTCTGCTTTTTGTGCCAAAGAATCGCTACTAACCATACTTTAAAGTTTTTTAATTGCACAGAGGATATCTCAAAAATCAGCTCAGAAAGTTGCCTGGATAATATTTGTGCAGATTCATTAATTGCAGCATAATTTCGTTGGTTATATGTTAATATTAATTTTGGTCAAAATCTGCGCGGAAGTCGGCCCTTATTTTCTGAAATGCGCAGACAGATTTTAGGATATTATATTATATTTAGCATTTAATATTTTTTTTATTCTTCACAGTTAAAACTGACTAATTTGAATGAAGGAAATCAAATTTTAAATGTCATAGGTCAAGTGAATAATGATTGGCAGATATTCAAAGGTAAAAACAATGCATTGGACTTTTGAAAATTCTGTTTATTATTGATACATTGCATTGTATTGTTATTAATGGGTGTTTATGCTAGCAATTATTAAAATTATTATTAATTAATTATTATTAGTTAAAATGCATGCCTCATTTAAAATTTCTGTGACAGCAGGATTTTTTCTCACAACTATAATAATAATAATAATAATAATAATAGTAATGCAAAACAATGCTTCTAAGCGCTTTCCACATAAAAGGAATGACGCCATAAAATATCCTAAGAGGAACCCTTTTCACCGCTCCGTTCTCCAGCTTTGAAAGCTCCCATAATTGAGAGCTTGCTGGAACAAAACTCACAAGAGCTTAAGTGAAAGTGGCATCTGACTATCCTATGCTACCAACAAAAAAAATCCTATAAACATCTCACTTAGTTTATAAAGCATAAAAGAGCCCCGTGGGAGAACACTAACTTACCCAGTATAAAGAAGATACTTTTAAAATATTTTATATCATGTTAAGTTGTGTTAATTGTCAATTCTTAATATTACTGTATAAAAAAATATTTGTGAAGGTGGTTTTTTTTTTAACAATTTTTTTGGGGTCAATGATCAACTAAAATAGTATTTCTAATTAAATATATCTTTTGTTTGACTAAAAACAACAATTTACAACCAAGTTACATGTAAAATAGCAATTTGTTATTAAAATAAACTTAAAATTTAACAAACAATAAAAGATAAAAGAATCATTCATAGAAGTATTACTGTAGATAAAAGTCAGATTGAACATCAAGAAAAACATTTGTAGAAAGGTAGAGTAAACAAGTTATTTAAAAATGATTTGAAAATTTCTTTATCAGAATCCTTGAAAGTAGAAAGTCTGTATACCAATTTGCACAAGAAGTCTCAAGACAACAGCAAAGACTGGCAACGAAGGAAAGAACGAAAGATCAAAGGGAAGCTACAGGAAATGAGTGAACAAACGGAAGGCTCGGCATGTAAGAAGATCAAAGTAGACGAAGTGTTGTCAAAAACAACGGAAAGAGAAGAAGACGTGCAAAGTTGAAGGAAATCACCTGTTTCTAACCACAAAGATGTATAAAACAAGCCCTGGTTACATGTTGTATTTATGACAGCAACTGACGTACAATTGTTTATCTATAATTTATTTTATTTGAAAAGATTTGCTAAATAAGCAACTGAATGTAGCCATGTGATATTAAACACAAGAAAAAACTGTGGCGTACACAAAGTTTTAGTCACTTCTTTTTTAAAAGAAATATATAACAGCAAAATCGTTACATATATTTATAAAAAGAGAGAAATTATTGTAACCAATCCAATGAAAGGGTTGAGATGCAACGTAAACTTTGTAAGTGTTAATCAAATTTCAAAAATTATCAAATTTCTAGCTAACACCAAAGAGTAGAGTAGCAAGAGGTCTGACCGCTGGGATTTCTTTGAAACGTATTCCTATCTCCATCTCGAAAATACCACCACGAACTAGAGGGTACCCTTCAAAGCAACGTAATAGTCAAATGTATCGAAGGTGTGCTGCCTCTATAGAATGCATGTTTGGATTATAAACTCTGTTCTAATGTGGTGCCACTTACCTCGTAGTAGTACTTTTTTTTCGTTTCATTGCGTGCATGCAAAATCCTGGAAGTCGGACCTCTTTCTATTCTGAACTCTTTGCTAACAGAAGCTGATGACTACCCACTGTATTATTTAGGACTAATTTCCACTCGCATGGAATTAAAGTACAATTGCAGCAAAAGTTTTTCTGAACTGCATTCCACTTTCTACCATAAAAGTAACCTGTCTTATCGATAATTAATGCATGTGATGCTTTTCAATGCAACTCGGACAAAATAGAATTTTAAGAAAATCAAAAATGAAGCTGTGTGAAACTATCAAAAGTTTAAAAAATTTACTCCATTACATTCATTAACCATCTTTTATCTCGCCAAACATTTATAGATTTAGTCTATTACACTTAATGTGGTGTGCATTCTAATATGACTTTTTAATTGCATTTTCCATAACTTTCCAACAGGTCGTTAACAGAAGAACATAGTATGGTAATTATGGTAATTTTAGGCTTATGTTCTTCCGTTAATTGTGAGTTATGACAGGCATTCAAGAATGGTACTCAGTATGATAATTATGTCCTACAAATTTTAGGCCTGAGTTTTAGTGTACCATTCTTGAATGTCTGTCAAATGACTCCCAATTTAATTTTTAAGTAGTAGTTTAATTCTAATTCTTGAATTCAACTCTCACTCTACCTCTCGTATAGTAAATGTATAATTTCGTTTATTTGCAAACAAAATATCATCAGTATCAGTTTTTGCCATATGAGAAGGACAATGTTATAGAATTTAGGCTTTTATTTTTATTATAGATACTGTATTTTAGATTCATGTTTCGTGGAAGAAGCCTAAAAAAGCTGTGATATTTCATCAAAGTTTCAACGAAAGAGTAATTAAAGTAACTCTTTCAAATATTTTGGTTTGGAGGCTCTATTCACATTATCAAATTTGGGTGAATGATGTCATCATCTTGACCCCCCCCCCCATATATGGACACATCACACAAACTTGTTACATAAAATGTTGTGCAGCTGTAGTATTCTCAAAGCATACCATCAATATTTATTTGCGTGTTATACTGTAAACAGGTTTTATTTTACTCAGTATTTCTTTATCATCATTTAAATTGGTAAAATATGTTAAGATGAATAAAGTATCTATAGGCTATTTTTAAATTTTTCACCATCAAATTATCTGGTTGTTACTGCCCAATGCTGTCTGGGACAGTTGTTTTTTGTTTAAAATAAGGCATTTGTTAACATATCAAATGTTTGGTATTTGTTATATTCATTCATATATATATTGATTTTGATATGTGTGTATTGTTTATAGTTGTAAACTAATTAAAATAATGGAAAATGAAATTATGTGGAGTGCCATATTTTCTCTCTATATAGCGTCATTGTAATCAATAACATTTCTTTTCATTATCATTTATAATAATTATCTGTTGGTACAACAACATATGGTATATAGTACACTGTTGTACCAAGTGCCCCAAGGGGGACCAGTCTACTTGACTGATTGGGCCACCCTGGTTGAAAATTTTGAATGAATGAATGACATGCTAGAAAAAATACTGCCTAAGCCATAATCGTAAAAAGAAAATGTGTAATTTAATTGTTAATAAAGTTTATGACGTGCATTTACATTTCACGTCATTAAGATTCAACATAAGAAGTAAAGGTAGAAAAGTACAATAATTACTGAATTTCAGGGGTGGCGCAAGCGGGGGGACCAGTCGCCCCCCCCCCCCTTACCCGTCTGGGAGAAAAAGCACAATTCGTCTGGGGAGAAAAAAGATTATATGTATTTTCTATATTTTAGTAGAATCTAAAACCGATTAAATAAGACTTTAAAACCTCTAAATTGTCAAAATTTTCGGGGGATTCGCCCCCTGGACCGCTTTCGAAACTTTAATCGAAGCTCGACCACGCCCATTTTGCTTTTGTCGGGGAAATCTGACCCCTCTTCGGGGGAATCCCCCCCCCCCCCCCCCCCCCCCCCCCGTCGGGCAAATCCTTGCGCCACCCCTGCTTTATTGTAGAAAAATATTATTTCATATCAATTTTCATACATTATTTTATGAAAAATGTGATGCAGTAGTCTCTTGACATAGCAACATGAGCGCTCTGGGCTATTGCTTGTAGCATATGGAAGGTGAAAGTCGACAGGAGCGCTACCGACCGACAACTTTGAGTTGAGAAGATTCGAGCCGCAACCTGGGCGACATGAGTTTTGCCGTGCGTACATCAGACTACATCGGGGTCAGCTTTAGCCGTGCAAGACAACAGGCTGACTTGAAATAACGTATTTGGACAACGTAGGAATAAGCAACTCTAGACGTAATCAATATTGTATTGTTCAATGTGGGTATTCTTTAATGATTTGAAACCTCGTTGAAATAAAAAATACAAGCGATTAGGCCTACCAATCTAAATATTAAAAATAAGGATAATGTTAAATGATGAGGCCTTGATATCTCTATTTTTAAGATTTCATCAGCACATAAATTTTGCAGTACGGAAACTCGGTTTATCGTGTAATCTTTCTTAAGAATTACTGTTTGTAATTTTAGTTTCAGAAAAATTAAATTTAATCCTATGTTTTTTTAGATCGGTAGTGCTCTATAACTTTGAAGCCAAGAAGTAGAGAAACACGATGTAAATTACATCTGGTTTGGCTTACATTGTGGTGTAAAAATTAAAGAGCTCATGAAATTTAAGGTTCAAAGAATCGAAAAGAAACAATGTTAGCGATACATGATGATGATGATAATGATGACAATAACAACAATAATAATAACAACAACAACAACAGCGGCAGCAGCAACGACAACAATAATAATAGGTATAGTCTATAGGAATTAGCCTACGTCATATGAAGAATGAACACTGACTAGAAATCAAATTTACACACAGGACACCTACTATTATCTCTTTCAAAAATTGTCTCAATCTACACGTCCTCATATCCTGGATTGGCTCTCAATACCAAACAATCTAAGGTATTAATACAAATATATAATAAGAACACGTAAATATATCTAAAGAGACTTTATTTACACGCCTGCCTCTGTATTCTAACGTCAATATTGAAAGATAATGAATGAATGCCAAAAATCTGTAAACTCTAACGTCAAACACAATCTGGTTGTTAACAAATTAAACACAACGGCCCTTTAACTAATAAAGGCACTGCCATAGTTGCCACGTTACTAAGACTGAACAAGCGAATTGCATTCATTGACATCGAGAGCTATAAGCCTATATAATCAAGTCTAAAATCATATGTATATATATATATATATATATATATATATATATTAATCATAGTGACTTAATTCTAATAACAATGGGTATCATCAGGCCTATAAACAAGTTGATAAAAACAAAAGTTTGATAATTATAGAGAATACACAGCAGGTGGCTGTAACGCAACTTAGAAACTAAATAAATGAATAGTACTGACCATAATAAAAATGGCAAAGTTTAATTAGTATTATAATTCCTAATGATAAATAAATCACGATAACATAGGCCTAATGGTCACAGGATAAGCAAATAATAATAATAATAAATAATAATAATAATAATAATAATAATAATAATAATAAATAATAATAATAATAATAATAATAATAATAATAATAATAATAATAATAATAATAATAATAATAACGATGATATATACTTAAATAATTCAGATAAAAAGCGGATATGAGTACGTGATCGAAATGAACAGAACATAAATAATCTGTTTAATTAATGGTGGTATATAAAGAGCAATAATGCTCAATATATGAAAATTGTGTAATAAATACCTGTATTTGCTCTCTGCTACTACACAGATACACACACACACACACACACACACACACACATATATATATATATATATGATCTAATTTCGAACAATTATTTACATTTAAAAATTATGTATTTAGAACATTAAAATGAGCACTTGATAAGAGGACCAACATATATTAACAAATAAATATAATGGATTTAGAACAATGCATTTATATGCATGCATATATGCTACATATATTATACACCAAATATCTATAGATTTGTATACACCGGTAATAAATATGATATATAATAGGCCTATATTTTCACCTGCCTATTGTGTGTATATTTATGAATTTGTATACATACATTATTTATATATGTATAATTAGTTACTGTATATGTATATAATATATATTTATGTATATTTATAATATAAATTAATATAATATAGATCTATTTAATTATGCCAATTAATCATTGTTAAGGCACTGAAATACCGTACGTTCTCGTATAATGGCTACGCCATTCTTCTAATAGAGTCATATGTATAGCCTATGCATAAAGTTGACATAAAAAATGCATTGTTCTAAATCCATTATATTTATTTGTTAATATATGTTGGTCCTCTTATCAAGTGCTCATTTTAATGTTCTAAATACATAATTTTTAAATGTAAATAATTGTTCGAAATTAGATCATTCTTTGGGTTAGACCACTCTTGTTCTCTAGCCCTTCAATTGTGTGAATAGTGACAGGTCGTTACACAAAAATATCATACGTGCCAACTGCCATCATTAACTTGGAAAAGAAGAAATGGGCCTAATAGCGACAAGATAATGGCTTACCTTATTGGTGATTTTGATCTCTTAAACTCCACGTATGTCCAGAACCACAATTTTTTGACATGAAGACACTTTATCAGTCATTTATAACGTTTTAACACGCCATGTATTAGGCCTAACTGATGGTATACATATAATCATTGGCTACATTGACGCAACTATTCATTTTTACTGAAAAAACAGGTGTATTATTTAAAAATTTTACAGATAAATTCCCATGTATTTTGAATTAATAACCCACAAAAATAATAGAAAAAGAAGAAATAATGCATTTTTTAAAAATTGACTATTCAGCAACAACTTTTTAGAAATAAACTGTTCAAACCTAGGAAAACATTTTTAGGGAAGATGCAAATTTAAAGAAACATACCGTCGTTTTTATCATGCTTATGCAAATAGACAGGTGTTTTCAAACAAAAATGCTCGGATAAAATTAGCTTCATTCGATTTTGATGCTTAGATGGCAGGAGGTATTGAAAAATCAATTCGCCGTAAGGAAAACAAAGCTGTCTAATAAATCGATACAAAATCCGAAAGATCAAAATATACAAAGAAGTGACTTCAGTCATCAAAAAAAAAAAAAAAAAAAAAAAAAAAAAAAAAAAAAAAAAAAAAAAAAAAAAAAAAAAAAAAAAAAAAAAAAAAAAAAAAAAAAAAAAAAAAAAAAAAAAAAAAAAAGCCTAGATTGAATTGCATGAAAAAAGCATGATAAAAATAAAGGAAAGAACATAAAATGTTTCCAACACAATTTTAATAGGTAAAATAGCTAATCGAATCTTTGTGGATTGTTTGTGAAGAGGATAAGGAACAGAACATGTAAATACAAAAATAGAAATGGCATTTACAAATCAAGTTAGAGTTTGAAAAGCAAAGTAAATAAATCTAAACTTCCAACACAATTCCGCTGTCAGTTGCCATGATAACTGAACATTAGGCCATGTAAAAAAAATGTTGATCGTCCCCTTCTTACTTACAAAAACTCACCCGACATATATATTTTTTTTGTTATTTTCGCCGTAAGTCACGAAAATGTCGTCTTTCTGCCCATAATTCAACTTTGGTTAGGCCTAGGCTTTTTTGGGTAATTATTTTGTCTTTCGATTATTTGTTCGTATACATTCCACCTGATCAAACGCTACACTGGAAGATCCGGCAAAGTCAGCCACATTTATATAAGGCCTTGCACTCCATTGGGTATTCGAAGATTTGGCATGTATAAAAAATAATAAAAATAAAAGCAATATAT